TGGAAGAAATCTGTTGGCTGCTAAAAGTATGCATCTACAAAACTTGGAATTCAAAAAAAAAGCTTTATTTATTGGAGATTACCCATAATTTCCTAAATTTAGGTTTCATATTTTAGTTTCTCACTGATTTCCTAAGCCCCAACATCACTATAGTGTGGCATATATAACATTACAAGTTCCCCCAAAATCCCTATCCTAAGGATCTTTCTGTGTGTGTATGGTTTAGAAAATCACATGAAATACCTACTAAACATTTCCCTCTCAGACAGTCAGTTGAATTGATAGTTCAAGAGGTCCTTAATAGTTCCGCAATTGTCCTTTATATATTAAGGTCACAGACCTTAACAGGAAGCATTGTTTTAAGGCATTTCTTCAACTACTACCTTACACACAATTACTACAGAAGGTTATACATACCTTCCTCCAACTCTCTACCTCCCATCTCTTCCCCTCACCTAGGCCCAGTTTATGATTTTTGTAGCACTGTTAAACATTAAATGAATGCAAATTGAACATTTAAATGAATGCATGTTAAACATCTCACTGGATTTATACCGTCCTTGAATATGAACATTAAGAAGTTATGCATCATAGCAGAACCATCTGAAAATGCATTTACTCCATCGCTTGAAACAGGGAAAAATTATCACTGGATGGGTCAAACCCAGGTTACACAATCATCAATAAAATATAGACATTCAGTCCTTACCTGCTTAACTGCATGATGACAGACAGATCTAAACAGTACTCAAAACAAAGTCCCCCAAATCTGAATCATCTGTCTTCCAAGCTGCTGTGACAGTTTTATACCCTGGTGCTTTCTTCTTTGCCTACATGCATTTCACTGGTCAGAATACTGTCAGCATAGGTAGGGTTATTTTGCAGCCCTAGTCACCTCGTCCTCTTTTCAAGCTTCGGGTTGGCATCTCACACAGCTGGACACATGCATCTTATCTTTGGAGGTAGAGCTTCCCCAGCGTTTCCCAGACGGATTCCCATTAGAAGGAGGTCCCTGCTCTAAATGGCTGGTCACGTTCTTGACCTGGTGCAAAGTAAGACGCCCTTTGGTTCAACTCTTGGGGACCAGGAGAACAGCCGTCAGAGACTCCAACTCTCTGCCACTGCCCGGCTGCAAAACCAGCAGTAACCAGCCGCCGGGAAGCACCACCCCCTCTCCCGCTTCCCGCCGGAGGGCAGCGACCCGGTCCCAGACCCTCCTGCCTCCCACCCACCCCCGGGAGAGGGGACGCAAAAATAAAAGCCCGACTTGAAAGCAGGTATTCTACCAGCTAAATGGCTCCCAACCCCTGCTCTTTTCCTTGAACGTCAACCTTGTTTTCCTTGCGCTAGCTCCAAGTTGAGATCCAACTCCGGGCCCCCACCCCACCGCCCTCCAGATGCCTGCGAGCTGGTGAGGGAAGGGAGTGACGGTCAGCAGCGCTTAGCACGCAGCCTGCGGAGTCCTTAGCCACTCTGAGCCCAACTCCACGGGATGAAGAAGGTCCAGGAGGGCTTTACTAGGCAGGCATGCTGAAGAGCCGTCATTTATTAGACTTGGGCATAGCTCATTAAAAAACAAATACATTTTTAAAAATGCAGAAGGATATTGCTACGACATTCTAGAACTCTCGAGTCTGTCCTCTCTCTGAGAAAAGAGGTCTTGCTCAACTTCGACTGGAGGAAGGCTGGAAACGGAGAGTAGGCGAGAGCGACCCCCGCCCCCCAGCCCCCAATCCCCCGCCCCGGCGCGCCCCGCGCTCCAGGGCAGCAGATGCCCGCGCGAGCTGCGCGCCGCCTGGCTGAGCCCGAGCCTTCAACCCCCGGTCAGCGGGCGGGTCGCCCCTCGCCCCGCGCGAGCCCAGGGCCGCCGGCAGCCAGGTCCTGTTCCCCCGGTGCCTGCGCCCGGGTGGCTTGGGCGCTGCCAGGAGCTGCGGAGAAACCTCCAGATGGAGTCGCCTGTTGATAGCCCTGTGGTTAAAGCGCCCTTGGCTGCGGGAGCCTCTCACATGCACATTTTCCCTTCACAACCTTGAGTTTGAAGTTACCATCCAGCAAAGTCCACTTACCTAAATACCGTGTGTCCGCGCCCTGCTGGAGTGGAGGAGGTTAAGACAAGACCCGACTGCACTGAAAGTTGTTCCCCTCCTCTCCCCTCCTTCCACCCCTGCGCGTCAGCAGCAGTCCCCCAAAGAGGATACTTAAATCGGTGAATTACGCTAAGCCCTCGTTTCTCAGCCACGGGCGCTGATGGCATTCGTCAAGCAGGACAACCAGACTTGGAAGGGGACCAGGTAAAAGCTAGCGACGGGTGAGGGGTGCCGAGAGACGCACACCCGTCTCAGCCCCGCTCTCTCGCTGGCAGCCTAGGGGGAAAAGCCCTTGAATCATGTAACTGGGGGATGGGGTGACGCTGCAGCTGGAGTACTTTAATGTCTGCAAGCTAAAAAGGCTTTTGAATTTAAAAAAGCATTACTTAGGTTGTCGCGTCGGCCATCAATGACTACAGAAATTGTTCCTTTCGCGAAATGAGAAGAAAAAAAAGGAAAGAAAATCAGGAAAGAAAGAAAAGCTTAAACAATAGGTTCTCACCTCCATCCATACCAATAAAGCGAAATATTGTAGAAACCAGGACTTGTTCTTGGGGGGTGCCCGGGGGCAGGGGGGAACGCTTCACAGAGAAAATCCCCCAAACCTCAACATGCATTAGGGATGACTGATACACGCAGAGCTGGCATGTAATGAATACTGTGTCCTTGTCAATATGTGAAGTAAAAGCTAAGATTTAAATGTTTCTCAACACACTTATCCTTAAAGGGTAAGTGATAATTGTAACTGTCATTGAATCCCATAAAAATGTCCATAAAAGCAAAACACACCGACATATTAACATACATATTAAAACTTGAGTCTCAGGATTGAGTAAGTGTGAAAACTGAGGAAATTAAATTTTTCATCTAAAGTCAGTCCCTGAATTTCAATTTATTACCACCGAGATAATCAGTGCTTTCTTCTAATAGCTCTGAAATAAGCACTCCTCATCCAATTAACTGTTCACCAGCTAAATTCACAAAATCAGAAATCCACTTCCAAATATGATGCCTGAATTGAAATACAATACCCAAAATAATGCGTTCATGTGTGATTTGTGATGCTGTTAAAAAAAATGGTGATCAAAACTCACGCTCTTCTTACCATACAGTGGCTTTTAGTGCTCAGTGTCCTGCTAAATCCATAAAAATACACTTTATTTACTAAAGTCTTCCCTCAGTCATGTAGTTGCTTACAGTGAACAAATGCTGACCTGAACAACCTTCTGAAAAATCAGAGACTAGTGAACTTTCTTGGACCCTGCAATTGTCAGAAGGTCTCTTTTAAGCTCTCTCTTAGATAAACATAAAATTCGACCTTTCAAACAGCACAAGAATGTGTGCCAAGAAGCATTAATGAGATGGGGGAGGGGTGGCTAATGTTTCCTATAACCTGTAATATAAATGAGGACAGAAAAGGGAAAAAAAAGAATGTAAAAGGTGATGAGGTAATTCATTATATGGACTATATCCTAATATCACTATTGCAACTAATAGCCCAATTTAAAAACGGTGGCCACATGGATCTTTGAGTTCCGAAAGTGAGAAAAACATTTTAAAAAATGAGACTTTAAAAAACTGAGTGAAGCTTATTAAAAATAACAATAACAAGAAGTTTCTAATAACATATAAAAAGAGTAACTTACCAGAGGACATTTCAGGCAGCAAGATGACTGTTAAGAAAAAATACATCCAGGACTCAAACATATTCCATCATCTTCCAAGTCAAGGTAAGTGAGGAGCTGCAGGGTGGTGGGACTTTGAAACAATCAGCAGTTCCTGGTGGCATGTAACCAAACAAAAACCAGTTACACGTAGAGACACGGCCCACCAAGGGAGGGAAGCAAAATGTGGAAGAGGTGCCTTTTATGTTTGGGGGTTGGAGGGCTTATTTATGGTGATCCTCAGGCAGACAGTGGAAATTTAGGAACTGTACATCCCCGTACAGTGGGGGGAAATAGAAGCGGTGTCACCCTAGAGAACAGGAGGTGGAATACAGATGCATCTGCAAAGAGAAGTGAAAGGATGTGCTGAAGACGAGAGATGAGGAGAGAACTAGCGTGCAAGGCTGTAGTCCTCCTGATAGACACAGCAAGAATGATTTAGGCTGCCGGGAAGGATCCAATGAGAGCCGGAGAGGGCACTGCTTCGGAAATCCTTCTCTGATCTTCCCACTCTCAGTTCCTTAAGAGTTTCCTGCGTTGGGAACATCATGATTAGGATTAATAGTACTCCAGCAGCGCATTTCACTAGGGTTTCCCTTGAACCCTCTCACTCGCAGCGACAGGGGGAGGTGTCGTAAGCCTAACACGACCAGCTCCCCAAATAAACCACTACGGTCACTTTAGGATGATCACATCATCAGCGATTTGCCCTGGGGGTAAAACGGGAGGGCTGAAGATGCGGATGAGGCCGAGAGGCTGGGCGCCTCGGGGCGCCGCGCGGGAGGCGCGGGCAGGGGGCCTGGAACCGTGGTGACGCGGCGGCGGCGGCGGGAGCCCGCCAGGTCCTGCTTTCCTCGGCGGATCCTGCTGCCCGAGACTCAAGGCAACTGACTTCCATCCGGAACCTCAGCTCCTGCCGCCTCGCTTTAGAAGCTAGGGCTTCGGAGGTCCCGGGGGTCGTCCCTGGGGAAGCAGGTGGCAGTCTGGGAGGCCCCCGCGTCCCCGCGTCCCCTCTGATTGCTGCACAGTTACCGAGGGAGAGTGTGCGAGAAACGGCTTTGCTGCCGAATGCATAATCTTGCCATTTTGGTGTCCCGATACCGCACAAACGATCGCCTGATCGATCGGGTAAGATTAGCTTTATTCCTTCTCCCCTTTTCTCTCCACGCCCCTCTCCGTTCTCCAAGCCCAAATCTCAACCCCAAATCCCCGTCTCTCTGTCTTCCCCACCCACACCCCCCTCTCTCTCATTCAATTCAGCAACTTCCCTTTGCTCTTTGAAACCTGCTTCCCCTAGGGAACCGCTTGTGTGACTGAGGGGTTAGTAATTTTCTAATGATTTTTATTTGGCTGTGAAATGAATCCCCTCTCGCCCCCGCGGTACCCTCCTTGGAGAAGACCCCTCCCTCCCCAGGGGTCTCTCTCGGAGCTGGGATCTGGATAGAGAGCGCTGTGGGGGTCTTCTGCCCTCCGCTCTATCTTCCTCTGGACCCTGAAGCGTAAGCATTAGACGCCTCTTTCTCTTTTTTTTCAGAAATAGAAGAGAAAGGTAGAGTGGAAATTGATTTCTTGCGGAGACTGAGGCGCCGAATGATAGAGGGAATAAACAGTTGCTCTCGATAAAAATGTTCTTGGTAAGTAATCTTATTTTCTGCAGTTGCAAAGGAAACACATTGCTTTCCACTGCCCCATCCCCCACTCCATTCACTTATTTGCTTTCTGTATGTAAATCACGAGCTGGGTCAGTGAAAATTTTCTTTTCCTCCTTCCTAGGAGGGTAGTAGCATGTAAGGGTGAGTTTGCACTAGGGGCTTTTAAGGGGCAGCGTGGAAGCTTTAAGGTCCTTCGCTTGCCTCCATTCAGAACCCAAACACACGCAAAGCTTATTCCTGCTTGCTTGCTAAAGGAGTATTTAAATAATATTTATTTAAATTATTATCTAATTTCATAACAATTACTTCTTACTAACTTTTTCCTTTATTAAAATAGTTTCCACTACGAGCCCCATGTCTGTGTTTTTTATATACCTTGGCCATGTTCTAAAAATTTAATACTCTTTCATTTCCAGAAGTGAGAACGTCTATTTTCACAGTATGACAAGGAAGTTAGAGCTATAGAAACCCCGTATTTATGGGTACATCTTGATTCCAATTCTTGTACCAGATTATCAGTGTCCAAATAGTAGTAGTGTTACAAACTAATAGTGTCCAAAATAGTTATTTGCCTGTTGTGGTATAATACCTATGAATTCATAAAGCCCTCTGGTTTTCCTAAGTCTAGAGCACCTGCAGCCTGTACATGCTCATTATGTGAAGAGTGTGTGCGTAGGAAGGAGCCAAACAGCTCCTGATGGTGTTTACATCATATGTCACTAAGTGTGCAGAGTAACAAATCCTACAAATTATGTGTACTTGGTTTCTCAAGTGTGAGCTGAGCATTCTGAATGGGAAAAAGTAAAGGATGCTTCCTCTGAGACAAATCATTGTAATTTTGAGTTGTGGAATGTTGTTTAATGGTGAGATATTCACATTTTCCCTCCATCCCTGTAGATCCTTGCCCTGTAAACCCCTTATTCCCAAATTTTATGCTGAAGAATAGGCTTATTGGCACAAAATTTATTCCTGATATAAACAGGATGGTCTTAATGAACCTCTTCTGAAATATCTGAGTAAAATTCCATTGATGAGAATAGGCTTCATTACAGGTAATCAATTTTCTCGAAATCTCTAGTATCAAAGCCCAGAAGAAAGATAGTAAAGGGCATATTACAACAGCAAGGCAAACTGTGCATCTGTGAAAGTACCTATAATCTTTCTTAACTATCACAATTGGCATGGGAAGAAAATTGAATAAGGACATGTTTATGTAACTTTTTTCTTTCTCTCCTTAGGCTGTACTCCAGCCCTTATGATGTCCTAGACCAGAAGCTTTTCTTCAATTATCTCAGTTCACCAAAAGGATGATTTCCATAAATTTCTGTGTTTTACATGGGCTGACAGGTGTTGTTAGGAGCATCTGAGGTCCACATAAAGAGGATGAATATTCTACACTACATTCATTCCAAATACAACCTTAACAGTTGTAATAGACAGAAAGCTTATTTTTCATATAAGATTTCAATGTGCTGCCTAAACATATTTACCTATCTGTTATTTGAAAAAATACAGTTATTTGTTGAGGACTCAAGTTGATTTACATTAGAAAATGTGACATTCGAATTTTTACTTTTATGTGAAATAAATGTGAGGTTGTTTTTCTTTTAAATATTTGTAGAAGAAAATTTCAGAATTAAATATATTAATTTTGCATTCCTGAACTTTAAAATAGTTTACAGCACTTAAAGTTTACAAAACAATGTAAGTATTTGAGTATTATATTAAATTGTATGATTACATTTGATCAATTCTCAAACTAGAGCCATAGGCTTTTTATCTCCTACTTGGCATTTATTTTAATTTGCCTAGTTTGTTCTTAGAACTACCTCAAAAGTTGTTTTTTGTTGTTGTTGTTGTTTTTTAATTTTGTGTATGTCCTTTCCTGGATAATTTAATTGCACATCTGCAGTATTTTAGCACAATTTGTATTACTGGTAATGTTTTTTTGTTTGCTATCTTGGCTCCTTCTTCTTTAAGTATATGGATGCCATCTAACATTTCTTACCTATTAGTCCACTAAAATTTCTAATCTAAAAGTAACATTTAAGACATACTGTATTAGGCAAATTGTGAAGCAATTTGTTTATGAAACAAAATGTCAATAACCTTCAGATAATTTTAACCTTAAATCAGATTTATAACAAAAATGTGTTATAGTAAGTAAACTCAAACTTTCCTTGTATACAAAAGTCATAAAAACATATACATTTATGCATATGTAATTACCCTCCTTATATTTAAATTTACTCATTTTAAACTTTGCTATTTGTTTTATTTTAGAGCTAAAGTGTCAAAAGTTTTATAAATACCTAAGTGTGCAAGCATCTTCATGTCTTACTTCATAAGATCAATAAAATATTAGATAAACAACTAATATATTCAAATCTTACAAAAAGTACAGAAGTCCCTCCTTATCCATAGGGTACATGTTCCAAAACCCCCAGTGGATTCCTGAGACTATGGATAGTACAAACTCTACATAGACTGTGTTTTTCCTATACAAACATACTTACAATAAAAGTTTAATTTCTAAATTAGATACTGTAAGAGATTAGCAATAACTAAGAATAAAATAGAATAATTATAATATACTGTAATAAAAGTTATGTAAATGTGGTCTCTCAAACACTCTTATTGTCACCCTTCTTGTGATTATACGAGATGATAAAATGCCTTGTTGATAAAATGAAGTGAGATGGACATAGACATTGCGACATCATCAGGCTGCTGTTGATCTTCTGAAAACACATCAGAAGGAGGATCATCTGCTTTCAGAGCACGGGGTTGGTCGCCAGTAACTGACACCATGTAAAGTGAAACCAGGGATAAAGGGAGACTACTGTATGTTGGAACTTGAAGGAACTTCAGAGATCATTTAGTCTAACTCCTCCATTATGGTGAAGAAATTGAGAACTGGGGAGACTGTGATTAATGTAGTTATACACTAACAATTCAAAGAACTTTAAATGTAGTTTTCCTAATTTCTTCATTGGTATTAATTCTAAACCAATTAAATGCTATTCCTAGCTTCTAAAACAGGTATTGCTTGAGGCTGGGACAGGGAATACATGAAAGAAAGAGAAAGTGGTACAAAGATGAATTACTCATAGGGTTCTTGGAGTTTATTTTGTTGATAAAATACTCTTCACTGTAGAATGTCTTTATTTCCCTGCCTTGGTTTACCCTCCTCCGCCACCCCACTCCCACCCTCTGTGATAAGGGAATATTTCATGATGTGATTTTACTTTGTCACATAAGATTCTCAGTGTTCTTTGGGTATACGCATTGGTTTGTTCTGCAGATTATTTTAAACTGTAGATAATTTAAAGCCTCTGCAATATCACACTCTTTCATGTCACATCTGCATTCTACTTTTTTAAGTGTCTACCAACATAACAAATAAAATTGTATCAAGAAAAAAGCCATCATCTCAAAGTAAGGTTTTAATTAGACTGTGACTTACATTTGACATCACACACACACAAACACACACAAACACACGCACACACTATGAAAAAAAAACAGATTGAGATAATGCATTGTGATAGACATGTTCTTGGTAAGTTATCTTATTTTGCAAACATGCAAAAAAATTCCATGTTGCTTTAAAAAATGGCTTTCTTAATTAGGAGAAAAGCTGTAAGACTTCAGCCATTTTCTGGAAAATCGACTTCGTTCTTTCATATACATCAGTTTTGAGTATTATGTGCAAGCTATTGTTTTCGGAAATGGCAAGTCTGAAAGACAAACATCAACACTGCAATCTATTGCCAGTTACCATTACTTCAAAGAGGTTATCATTCCTGGATTAAACAAGACAAGAATAGAATAAAATCTAAACACATTTTAAAATGCTTACAATGTGCACTTATAAAATAGAAATTTTGCACTAATCTAAAATATTGCAAAAGAGGGAACACATATGAGAAAAAATTTATATTGATTAATTTATGCTTTAATGGTTGAAAATAAAATGCACCCTTATTTCAAAACACATTTGTTGATGAATAAAATGTCTAATTTTAAAGGGAAAAATAAGTAGACTCATAGAATTATTTTAAAAGCCTCCTGTCGGCCTATTTCTTTCAATAGATCATCTTAATATCAATCGTGTGATTTAGTTATAAACAGCTCATATATGAAGTAATAGTTTCAAAGAGCCTAATTAATTTGCCAAAAGTCGCAAACAAAGTAGATTCAGAATTGGAAAAAGTTTTATGGCTCCAAAGTCAGGGTGAATTTCCTTGTATCTTCTAGTACATAAAGTTCTGGGATAATAAAAGTATTCCGGAAGCATGTGTTAAGCAGCATTTGTATTGCTGTATGTGTTCTTGTGTGATTGATAATGTCTTCACATGTATGTTTAGAGCCTAGCCTATTTCAAAGCACTATCAGTTCTACGATTGTGTTTTTTCATGTTCATTTTCTCCACTCCCTCACTGCGTATCTCTACCACATAGGACAGAACACTGTCAAAGAAGAAGCTCAGTAAGTATGAATTTAATTGATGAGATTAAGTACTTCACCAAACTTTCCTTCTTTAACATTCTGTGCTTGCTGTACCTAATTCTTAGGGAACATTCAGAAATATTTTTACTAAATGACAATATTCCTCAAAATACTTTCAGAATATTTGACATATATTTGGCCTAATAAGCCATGTTAAAAATGACAACACTTCACCAAATAATGTGACTTTGTATTTTAATACATACCTTCCTACCCACCATACTAATTTAATTCTCTCATTATACTGCAAATTAAACCATTGTGTTTACTTGAAATGAAAGAAATATGGTATGAAGAAATTGAAGCACTGTTTTTCATTACTAAAAGAAATAATTGAGTTCTTTTTATTCACCACATTCTATTTCTTAATTTGTTACACGGAAGAAGTAATATAATGGAAATATCAAATTATTTGTTAATTTTATTAAATTATGTGGGTGAAAATTCATCTGTCAACATTTGCAAGTAAAATATAATAATAAAAGAGTGAAATGTTTCTAACATTATGAACTGAATTATAAAACTATCAGTTTGTATGACATTTTGCTATTCAGAATTCTCAGAATTAAGATTTTTTTCAATATTATCAAAACTGGTTATTTCCTAAATTATTTGTACTACCAAAATCTATTCCTCAGTGTAATGACCAAAATGTATTCATTGGCTTAATGGTTGTATGAATTAATGTGTTATCAATTGGCATGTATAAACTTGTACAGTTTTTAAACTAACTTACAAAAATAACAATATTGAAAACACTCAAGGAAATGATCTGATACAACTTCCTTACAATCCTTCTTAGTATCTGGATTTCAATGACTACTGAAGTGTAGTAGAACAATAGCTCCCCAAATGCTCACATTCCAGTTCTCAGAATGTGTGACTAGGTTACCATGTAAGCAAAAGAAAGTTTGCAAATTTTATTACTTTAAGGACTTTTGACAAACAGAGAGTAGCCTGGATTCGCTCTATCTGCCTCATGTCATCACGAAGTATCTCTGCAAAGGAAGACAGAGAGAGAAGAGTCAGGAAAGGAGATGGGACGACAGAAACGGATGGAGTGACGGGGAGCCACTAGCCAAAGAATGCAGACAGGACGCCCTGTAAAAACCGGAAAAGGGAAGGACGCAGATTCTTCCTTAGAGCTTCCAAAATAAATGAAGCCTGGCTACCCATTTTAGATTTCTGACATCTGAATCTGTAAATTGATAAATTTGTGTTTTAAGATATGATCTATTTGTGATATTTTGATAACAGCAGCAATAGGAAATTAATAGAGCCAGCAATGCAAAGAGTTGAAAAATAAGTAGTATGTTCTTTTCTCTCTAGAGACTTTATGATTTCACAGCAAACACTTGCTTCAAGGCCACTCCATTCCTCTTGGTGCTGAAAAAACCACTGTCTTTTATCATGAGGAAACTTGATTTCATCAAGAGTCATGTTGGTTCTTCTAGCTTGATTGTATAGCACATGGATAGGGCCAGCATGTGAAGGAGGAGACGTAACAATTTCCAGAAATAAACTAGTAATTTAAAGACTTATTACATACCTTTATTCATTTGGAATATACCATTTACCAGAGACCTACACATATTAGCACCAAGTACATAACTAATTAGGTTATAGCAAATCTTGATACAGATGTAAGAAAGTGAGTAATAACCATTCCATTTGAACAGTCTATGACAAACATATGCTTGAAGAAAAAACATTAAGCACAAGATTAACTGTAGAAGACAATGGAAATTAGCAAAATATTAAAATAAATGTGAGATCTAAAATGAGACCACAGAGAATGACTGACAGTGGGGGGATTTTGATTTTCATGGAAAGATTGACAGAAAGCACTCTGATGGTTTTCTCCTTTCCTTTTTCACAGTATTGCAATCAAGAAAAGGAACTGAATATTTACTTAATTAGGATGCATCATTAATTCTAGTGTCTCATGAACTCCTACAGCCTTTCACCCCTTTTAGAAATATAAAGAATAAACTACTTGATTGTCAATTCTCTTGGTATCTCTAAATCTTGCTGATACTTATACTTCTTATTCTGAAGAAAAACACACCTTGTAGGAGGATGAAAAACAATCTTTCACATTGATCATTAAGTTCTGCCTCTGAGGAGAAAATATGAATTTACAGACAAAAGCAATTTTAAAGGACTATATAAAATGAATTCACTTCATATTTATGGATGGAGATCAAGACTAAAAGTCCATTCAACAGATATTTATTGAGCATTTATTCAACAATCATTTATTGATAGTGTTATATATAAGAAGCAATTTCTTAATGCTATAACAGTATAAATATAAGTTACACTCTCTGTGTCCTAGTAGGAGGATAAGGGGAGTATACTGATGAATATGAAGGTCTTTTTGACTCCATCTTATACTCTATTCACATTATCAATCATCATTTCATTAGAAAGAAAAACATATGCATTGATTGTCATATATTGGCCAAGCATTTTTTAGGATGATGTGCTGAATAAGCTAACCAAAATCATAGATCTCAAGTACCATACAATATTTACACAATCATAACAATAATAACAAAATGAAATAATAAGCCTAGAAAAGAGTAATTGCTATTGTGTTTAGCCTGGGGCTAAGATCTCTTCAATACTTCCAGCATGCTTCATTAATTTACATTACTTACTAGCTTCTGGAATCATGTAAGTTTGTTAACTCCTGCTTATACTTGTTGTCAAGAAGAGTTTCCTTAGAGTCTAGGAGGCAATGGTTGCAGTAGGATGTATGTTTTCTTCAGTGTAAATTTAAAGTTGTAGTGAACAACTCCAACCTTCTGTTGTTACACCAAAATTTTAATTTTGTGCTTATGCATAATTCAATTGAGTTAGCAGGATGGATGTGGTGATTTGATACACAGCGAATCATGGACCCACATATGTTCTACTTCATGACCCAGTGTTCCACTAAGTCCTGAGATATTCTCTATTAATTTGGCAAATGTTGGAAAGAGATAATATGAAAGATCACTTAGGAGAGTTTATGGGCCAGATCTAGAGGTGGCCCTCGTTGCTTCTATTCACGCTCTATTGTCCAGAACACATCTTTATAATAACATCTAATTGCAAAGGAAGCTATAAATTGAAGTCAAGCTTTGTGTCTAAGAAGAAGAAAATATGAATAGCAATCTGCTGTACTCATAGTCTCAAAACAAATCATTTTTATATATAACTAAAACATCAAACTGTACAATCAGTGCAGGCAGAGACTGTAACTTTGCTTGCTGGAAGGAATTTGATGGTGTTTGATAAGTTGTGCTTTGCTAAATAATAGGGGGAATGCCAGTCCTTGCCAGCATCTATAATGGGCTCTGCACATGTAAATATTTTGTTAGTGAATGAATGTGTATGGCTTGGAGTGTTCTCATCAAATACCCCAGTGTCCAAATTTGGCATTCAATTGTATATCCTTCTGCAGAAAACAACTGTATCTCCTCATGTCAAAAACAACAAGAAAAACCACACACATACACACACACGTAAATCTAAATGTTGACCTTACACTTTTCACAAAAATGAACTCAGGTCATAGACCTATGTAAAATGAAAAACTATAAAGCTCCTAAAAGATAACATAGGAGAATATCTAGGTGACCTTGAGTTTGGAAATGATGTTTTAGATTCAATGTCAAAAGCACAATTCATAAAATAAAATAAGTGACAATTAGACTTCATTAAAATTAAAAACTCTTACTCTGCAAAAGGCATTGTTAAGAGAAAGAAAAGACAGGCCACAGACTAGGAGAAAATATTTGCAAAAGACATATCTGATAAAGGATTGGTATCCAAAATATGAAAAGAATTCTTAAAACTCAGCAAGAAAAAAAAATTAAAAAATAGGAAAAAGATCTGAACAGAGATCTAGCCAAAGAAGATACACAGATGGTAAATAAAGATATGAAAAGATGCCCTACGCCACATGTCATCAGGGAGTTGCAAATTAAAAGAACAATCAAATACCACTTCACATTTATGAGAAGGGCTAACATACGAAATGCTGACAATAGCAAATTCTCCGAGGATGTGGAGGAGCAGGAACTCTCATTCATTGCTAAAGAAAGTGCAAAATGGTAGAGCTATTTTGGAAGATAGTTTGGCAGGTTCTTACAAAGCTAAGCATAGTTTTATCATATGATTCATCACCATATTCCTTGCTACTTACCCAAATAAGTTGAAAGCATATATTCACAATAAATACTACAACTTTATTCTTAATTCCTCCAAAGTGGAAGCAAGCAAATTGTCCTTTAAAAGGTGAATGTGTAAACAAACTCTGGTACATCCATACAACACACTATTCATATTTTTAAAAGTGTACTAATGAGCAACAAAAACATATGGAGGAAGCTTAAATGTAAAGTGCTTAGGGAAAGAAGTCAACCTGAAAAAGCTATAAATGGTAAGGTGTGGACTATATTCTGGAAAAGGTAAACTATAGAGTCAATAAAAGGATTAGTGATTGATCAGTGGTTGTATTTGTCAGTGGGGGTGGTGAGGAGAGGGCAGGATGAATAAATGGAATACAGGGGATATGCAACTTAAACATTAGTGAATGAATATGTATGGCTTTGAGTGTTCTAATTAAACATCTCTGTATCAAACATGGCATTCTTGGTCTGCTTCTTTGACTAATCAACAGCATTTTTCACCATACTCCTTCCTAAAATAGTTTCTATATGTGCTTCCAGGACAAAACAATAATTGATTTTTCTTTTACCTCTCTGGTTGCTGCCTCTAAGTCTCATTTTCTAGTTTATTCTACTAGTCTTGAACTTTTGAAGTTGAAATTCTCTAAGGTCCAGGGACTTGAACTTGAACTTCCTCATTCTTATATATACTCAATCTCTTGAAAAACTCATTCATTTCCATGATATCCAATAACATCTATCTACTGGTTACTCCCAAGTTCATATTTTCAGGCGGATCTTTCCCTTGAACTGTCCAGAGTCTATAAGAATTACTATTTAACAATTTCACTTGGAAGTATAAAATCCATTCTAATTTCAACACGTACAAAATTCAGCTGCTATACTCCAACCCCTTCTCAAACTTGTTCCACCTACACTTGTCCCCAACTCAACGAATGACAATCTATACTTGCAGACAGAAAAAATAAAAAACAAAAACAAAAACTGAAGGGATCTTTGACTTCTCTGTTTCCCTCAGAGTCCACATCCACATAACCATCTTGACCCTACCTACAAAATACATCCAAAATCCAGCTATTTCTCATCCTCTTCATTGCTAGCATTTAATCCAAGCCACCATAACCTCTAATCTGATTTATTGCAGCAATATATTCCTTTCTCTGTCTTCCCCATTTACCATTTCTTCCTATACTTAACACAGGAAATACTGTAATCCCTTTAAAATGAAAATTGATCATGTAACACCTCTGCTAAATATATTCAGTGGGTTCCCATTTATCTACAACAAAATCCAAAATCATTACTATAACTCCCAAGACCCTAAAACATTTCACCCTTCTTTATCCCTTAGTCTGTTATACTATATCCTTAGTCACTCTTTTCCAAGCCACCCTGGACTCTGTAGAAACTTCTAGTCATGTGTTTTCTTTAGGCCATCACATTGAGAATTCCCATTTTACACTTGCCTCATAATAACCCTGAGCTGCAATGAATCCAAAAGCAGTTGTTCAGCATGATCTCCCTCTGAAAAATTTGGGAGCTCTCCATGATGCACACAATCCATGAGAAACAAGGAGATATTATTTCAGGTCCCCTTTCTTTCTAAAATGCCACAATATATAATCTTTACAGCACTGTGGACATCACCCATTGAAAGTTGTTCCCTCCCAAAATTCAATGAGAAAGTGGAGTATAAATCTCTCTGCCCTGAGATTTTTAATGATCTCCCTCAGACATGTCCTCCACCTTGCTCTCCTCTTCTCCTTTGCCGTGACCAAAAGGACTTCTGATAAATGTCTATGAGTAAGAAAACTACCCCTATGTCTAAAACCTAAAACATTAGAGCTAAAATTCTGTAGATTAAAAATTCTCTACCAGAATAAAGATTCTGCTGTGAATCCAAGGAGACATTACTCTCAAAGGGAAATTCTTAAAATTGATTTTATTTCATGTTTAGCTCTTGCAAACAAAAAGCACGTTGGTTTCATACCATTTAGCCAGTTTAAACTGAAGAAACCTATTCAGCACTTTCAGTGAAATTGTTTTCTCTTTAGGTGAGGAAATAGCAAACAACTCCTGAATTAAAAACATTCAAATATTACCCCATTGCATTAGACCAAAAATAGACTTACATAAAACTCCTGTAAGAATGAAAACCATGGAGTGGTGAGTTTAAATCCATCTACATTCCTTCTTGGCTTCTGTGTGATATTTTCTAGTATGTCATCTAATATGTCATAGTAGATACTGAATATTTGACTCAGGACAATTTCTGCCCTCAAAAACTAGATAACTCCACCCCTACTCTTGTTAGATTTTGATTCTACCATGTCGTTGCTTCTTTATTACTTTAAAAATCAAATCTCAAATTGGGTCTGAATTGTGGGGCCTATGTATACTGTACTACAAAAACAAAATAAAAAAACAAAAGGGTAATTAAGTCTGAAACTGAAATTATCCTGAAAGGCTGTAGAAAAAAAGCAAGGAAGCTACAATACATTGCAAATATCTACCAGTTTGTATATAGTTTCTACAGCTAAGATGTAATGACCTTCATAGTCAGTAAAGGGAGAATAAAACAAAAAAATGCCTTTCTAAAAATAAATTTTAATTGACAGATTATTATATATTTCTTATGGATTCATATTATTGATTGATTAAAATTGGCATGCAAATATATTTGTAAGAGGTTTGAAATGTAATTAGTTTTTTCTTTCTCATTCAAATTTTTATCTTTGCAGCAGCTTCCCTTAACTTTCCAAAAAAAATATTC